GGCTCAACATGCTTGAAATTAGGACAAAAGTTTTTATAAAAAGTATAACAATTTTCTATTGACAAAAACAGTAGCATTAGAGTAGGAAGACTCTACCATCCGGAAGACAACCATCTAGCCAACACTGACACAACGGACCTGCTCACTGTCAAGGCGCCATGCGTCTGCTTTCCCTGGCCGTTCCTCCCGCAACGTCTTACCCTCAAGTGCCGTGGCCCTCGAGTACTAGGGGAAATGATATTCAGTGTGTGTGTGTGTGTGTGTGTGTGTGTGTGTGTGTGTATGTGTGTGCGTGTGCCTGTATGTGCATGTGTACGCAGATACAGACAGGTATGTGAAATGCACTGAGGAGATGAGCACACAGGAGACAGCCGAGTGCAAATGATAAACCAAAAGAGTCAAATGTTAACAGCAGATGAATCTAGAACAAGGTATATGGGCACTTTGTACCATTTTTATCTTTGCAACCTTTTTATAAGCTTGGAAGTATTTTCAAGTAGGAAAAAAGTTTAATTTAAAAATATGTATCTTCTGGGGCTAGCAGATGGCATAGCAGTTACATCGCTGGACTCCCAACGGCTGACCACAGTTTGAGTCCCAGACCTGGTGGCTTTAAACTCGCATCGGGCACGTGTGCGTGCATGTCCAAGATCCCAGGAGGAGAATGGAATAGACGAGACTGCAGCATGGCCATCCCCCCTCAGGGTGTTCTCCCTTTCCCTCTCTCGCCCTCTGTCTGTCTGTCTCTCTCTCTCTCTCTCTCTCCCTCCCTCCCTCCCTCCCTCCCCCTGGCAAGCACATGCACCCTAAGGCAAAAACTTCTTTTAAAAAATGTCAGCTCTTGGGGAACCAGCAGTTAGCGTAATGGCTATGTCGCTGGACTGACCACGGTTCGTGTCCCGGACCCGGTGGCTTAAAACTCACGCCGGGCGCATGTGCGTGCGTGCCCAAGATCCCGAGAGGAGAATGGAGGAGAGGGGATTGCGGCGTGACCATCCCCCTGGGGGGTGATTTCTCGCTTTCTGTCTCTATGTCTCTCTCTGTCTGTCTGGCGAGCGCACGCGCCCTACAGTGAAAATCTCTCCAAAAAAAAAAAAAAGTTCTTTATGTTCATACTTCATCTATAATATTTATTTTTCATTTTTGATATTTAAAAATGTTGCCCATTAAATTTCCAAGT